GTGTGTGTGTGTGTGTGTGTGTGTGTGTGTGTGTGTGTGTGTGTGTGTGTGTAGGGGTGATGGAACAGCCCAGGGAGACAGAGAAATCCCCACACAGCATCGGCACAGGAGTGTGTGTGTGTGTGTGTGTGTGTGTGTGTGTGTGGAGGGGTGATGGAACAGCCCAGGGAGACAGAGAAATCCCCACACAGCATGGGGACCTGCATCAGAGCCACAAAGCACACAGATGGAGAAACGGAGACTTGTAAAGGCAGCGGGAGGCGAGGGGCATGGCAGCCCTGTTACTGCATGGGGGCCCAGGGTGCCAGGCTGGAACCTAGAAACCACTAGGGTCCCAGCCAAGCCAGGAAGGCAAGCGAACACGATGTAGACCACCAGGCCATGCAGAGCAGCCCACGCTGTGGGGAAGCCAGACAGGGGCGAGCCTCTGTTAGGAGATGATGCCCAGTGCGGGTCTGCAGATGATTATTGGTGAGAGCTTCTGACTTCAGTCCACAAAATGCCACCCTGGCCCATAAAAAAAGTAAAATACAAAGGAATGTCCAGCAAGGATCTGAACAATAGAGAAGGTGGGAGCAGAGCGGTCATGTCCCTGAAAGGCAGGGGCACCGGGCGGCTGGGTGCTCAGCTGTGTTTCCTGCAATCCCCGGGCAGATTAGCTCCACAAGGCTGCTGGAGTCGCTGCCCAATGTCTCTGCATGAGGACACGGAGTGGCCAGCCCGGCTTGGATCCCACGTTGGCAGTGAAGGCTGTCCCACCTTGAGTGATCATCACCCAGACTGCACCCAACTGTATCTGTGTGGTTTCCCAAAGCAAAATCGGGGTGCCACTTCACAAAGAACAAAGGGAGCATGCTAGCTGGGGGCACGTCACTAGAGATGGCAAGGATGCTGCCGACACGTGGGCTGTTCCTCCAGCAGCAGGAGTGGGGAGAGGGAAGTAAGGCATGGGAGATCACGGGTGACAGGCAGGGGGCTGTGAGCACACCAGCTGGGCCATGGGGCCTAAGTAACCGAGTGTCACACAAATATGTTTGGATGTTATTTTGTCTGCCTGGGAAGTCACTAAAGGTATGTATGATGAGCAGTGGCCTGAGGGAGGAAATATTGGTGCATGGAGCTCAGCCAGGAGGCCATGGCCCCCTGTCCAAAGGGGGTGAAGTAGAGACTTAGGATAGTGGCAGGGGGATGATACTGAAAGTAAATTTCCTTTCAAAATGGAATTTAAAACTGCATCTTCTCAATGACACCACTCCTCTCCAGCCTAACTTCAGGACTGCCTCCGCCAGCCACACGGACTGCGCACAGCACATGGAAATGAATGGCTCTCCTGAAGTCGTGTCACACGCCAGCCCTGCCCGGAGCTTGTGAAATATGCAGGGGAATAAATCCACTGCTTTCTCATGGAGGCCTCCAGAGGCAGGGTAAATAAGAAGGTCCCAGCAAAGCAAGGAATGGAAACAAAAAATATTAGAGACTGGAAAGGAGGGGACAGCAAACAAGGGACAAATAAAGTAATGGTAAATAAGAAGGTCCCAGCAAAGCAAGGAATGGAAACAAAAAATATTAGAGACTGGAAAGGAGGGGACAGCAAACAAGGGACAAATAAAGTAATCAGAAGGATTTTACCCTGTGAGGATGAGGGATGTGCAGCTACAGGCAGGAGGAGAGGGCGGCTGTCAGAGGCCGAGCAGCCGCAGAAAGAGGAAATTGGTTAAGCATGTTTAATTTAACAGTTCAGGAAATCCTGTCACACTGCCTTCAGCCATAGTGGGGTGCCTTGCGAGTCCCAATAAATGATTTCCTTTTAAAAGCCTCCATGGCATAGCTGTGTCGCTGTGGGAGAAGCTCTGCACTGGTCAGTCCCAGTCCTTGTCCTGCACCCGCTCCCACCCACTGCAGCCTCGGAGCCTGCCACTCTCCCCCAGGTCTGCTGTGGGGAGTGGCCTGTGCCCTCTGCTGCAGCGGGAGGGCAGGGCCAGGCTGCTGCGGGCTGGTGGGAGAGCAGCTCCCTCTCTGTAACATACAGGCGCTCTCTCAGGGCCCCCGTGCCCCTGCTTTCTGCCCTGGGGTGTCCTTATGTGAGGATCACACTTGGAACTGTGGGAGCCACTTGGCAGCCATAGGAGAAGCACAGAGACTGTGACTCAGGTCCTGCCATCTGGGGCTGCTGGGCCAATGCAGAGCCACTTGCCTTTCTTGTTAAACAATGTTCTGATGGTTTCATCCACTGGTGGTTGGGCTTCCTGTTACCTGCAGATAAATGTCTCCTGACTTGATATGGTTCCCAGTGACGGGTGTAAAATATGATGTGTCACAAGTCCTTGAATCTGAGCTGGTCCCATCCGCCATCTGATAGGTAGTTGTATCCAGGCAATAAAGGGATGGTGTTGACTTGATCCTTCTGCACCATTACCTCTGGGAAACAAAGAGGTACATTTGTTAGAACTGATGAATAATTATAATAAGTAGTTATTCAATATCTCAATCAAAATTATTCACTCCCTAATTTCCAAATAGTGTATTTTATCTCTATTTTAATAAAACAAACACAAAGTTTTTGATGATATATATAAGTTTCAAAGGTGGGTTACATATCAGTTGATATATTTTCTATTTCTTAATGCATGACAGACTATGTGTTTAGGAATTGAAATGTCCGTCCCATCTTTTTTTGTCTTTATTCCTGAAGTCACTTGTAGCTAGCATGACAAAGATGTTCTCATGTTAAATAATTAGACATACTAATTACAGTTAAGTTTTGAAAAGAGCAGGTTTTTAATTTCCACCATCCTCTATGTTGCTATACTCCCATGGGTTGTTTCAGACCAAATCATTAGCAGGCTGTCTAAGAGATTAAATTACTAAAAAATATAAAGCAAGATATTTGCTCAGTAAGATGTGGGTGTGCTAAAGGTGTGAACTAACTTAGAGTTCCATTGATCCCTGATCTCATAGGTCAATGCTTTAAGATTTTAGTTGCTGGGGTTTTAAAAGTTTCTTTTAGGGCTTGACATAAACAGATCATAAATCAAAATACTCCATCTGTCAGTTTTTGGGAAATGGAGCTAATTCTATCAGCCAGAAGTAATAAATTGAAGAGCTTTAAGTTACAATTGCTAAATGGTCTCTTGAATTTGCTATTACATGTCTGCTCTCAGAAAGCTGTTCTTTAAAAAACAAGCAAAAACACTTTAAAGCATGATTTTACTTCAGCTCTCTCTTTATATGTCAGATTTTAAACTCCAACATCTTGCATCTTTATCTCCCGTAGGAGGTCAGCAGAAGAATGCTGATGCTAGTAACTGAAATAAAGTTCCTTCTCTGGTTCAAATTAATTTGCATGTGAAATGACATCCATGCCGACACAATAAAAATTGATTTAAAATATTGAACACTGGGGCATTTTAGAAAAAAAGAAGGCATAGCTATTTGTAAATGATCAACTACCATAGTACACTCAGAATTCTATAAACTGCAGGTCTGTTATTTAAGATTAGTATGTTACCAAAGCTAGATATTTACTCATAAATTACAGTAAAAATTGCCTGAGTTTTGATGCTGCTTAAATTTGATAATGGCCAACCTGGACTACAAGTTAGAATCAGAGGGGATGTGTGAAAAGCATTCCCTGGTGAGTGAAAAGTCCCTCTGATGGTTCCCAAGCATCCTTGCTGGTCTAGCATTCCCATTTCAGTGTGGTGCCTGTCACCAATTAGTAAGAGAATATGCTCAGTTGTTGCCAGAAAACATGAGTCAGGCTTGTGAGAACTACTCTAATTTCACGTAAGCCTCATTTGTTTGATGCATTATTAAACCAGGAGTCATTGTGATAAACTGCTCTTTGGTGCCTGTGAGAAGACAGAAACTCTCAGAGAAATGAAAGCCCATGTAGGACTCAGATTTGAATGCTGCTTTAAAAAAGGGGGAAAGTCTTTTTTGGAGTCTGAAGCACTAATTTATCACCTCTGGCTTACCTCAGCCAACCAACTAATCCTTTTGTCTCTTTGGCACCATGATATTCCTCTCTACATCCAATATCTTCTGGGTGTTGATTTTGCACTAAAGCCCTGCGTTTCCATGCCACCCTCCAGGAAAAAAGAGAGGGAGTCGTGTTCAACTGTCAAGCTTGCTAAGCATCCACAGAGAAGGAATTTCACAGACCTTCTGTGCACTTCCTGCTTTTGAAAGCATGAAATGTACATAGATTCCTGAGTTGGGAAGGTATGAGACTGGGAGGGTTATGGAGAATAACACCCCCACTTCTTTCACCAACTAAGTGCTATGGACTGAATGTTTTTGTCTCTCACATCCCAAATTCGTATGTTGAAACCCTATCCCCCAATCTGATGGTATTAGGAGGTGGGACCTTTGGAAGGTAATTCTGATTAGATGAGGTCATTAAGGTGAAACCCGATGGCATGATCAGTGCCTTCTACGAGTCACAAGGGGACTTGCTTCCTCTCTTTGCTCTACACCATGTGAGCATATAGTAAGAATTTAGAAGTTTGTAACTTAGACGAGGGCTCTCACCAGAACCCAATGAGGCTGAAATCTTGATTTCCAGAACCTTCAGCTTCAAGAACTGTGAGAAATATCTGTTGTTTATAAGCCATCCAGTCTGTGGTATTGTATAGCAGCTGGGACAGAGTAAGACACTCTGTGCTGGTGGGAAGTTCCCCATCCATTCACTAATGCTGTTTCCTTTGGGGCGAAAATGGACCTACTTGTGTCTGTGAGGTCTATTTTAGTCTGCTTGGGCTGCTGTAACAAAAATACCAAAGAATGGATATGGCTTAAACAACAAATACTTATTCTCACAGTTCTGAAGGCTGGGATGGCCAATATGAAGGCACTAGCAGATTCCATGTCAGGTGAGAGCTCAATTTCTGGCTTGTTAAGTGGCTGTCTTCTCACTGTGTCCTCACATGGAAGAGCACAGAAAGCTCTCTGGGCTCTCTTTTATAAGGCCATTAATCCCATTCATGAGGGCTCCACCCTCATGACCTAACTACCTCCCAAAGGCCCTATCTCCTAATAGCATCACCTTGGGGTTAGGTTTCAAAATATGAATTTTGGGGAGTACATAAACGTTTAGTCATAGCATAACAAGGATTAACTACCAAAAACAGCAAACTATCCAAATATAGTACCTGGCACACAGTGAAAATAAAAATTATTATTACTATTTACTGGTACTTCATTGTCATCTGTACTTCATTGTCAATTGTAAAGGTCATCTTACCTAAGCTAATAAACCACTTACTTAAGCTAACAAACCTAGGAAGTTGTAACCTAGCAATCCATTATTTTCAGAATAAAACTCAGTAATATTCAATAGAACACAAAACATTTGGCACCAAAGGTACAATTCACAATGACAGGCATCCAAGAAAACTGTCCTTGTATGAAAAGAAGGAGGAAATATGATCAATAAATCAACCAGTAGGGGGAAAAACACAAAAGGGATGGAGAAGATGGATACTATTAAAAGAGACATTATTGATGCACTCCATGTATTTAAGACAATAGAGGAAGAAATGAGGACAAAGAGGATAGAAATGGAAAACATACAAAAGATTCAAAAGGATCTTTTAGAGTTGAAAAATACAAATCTAGAATTATCTACCAAAAAAAATTTTTCAAAATTGAAACACACACAGAAAAAAGCTTTTTAGACAAATAAAAAGTTAAGATAATTTATCACCAGAAGAATTTCACTGCAAGAAATGTTAAAGGAAGTTTTTCAGGAAGAAAGAAAACAGTACAAGATAGAAATCTGGATCAACATAGAGGAATAAAGAACATTGAAAATAGTAAATAGAGGAATAACAGTGAATAACCTTTTTTATTTCAAAATATCTTTAAAGAAAAATTGTTCAAAACAAAAATAGTAACATTTTTCAGTGGGATTCATAGCATATGCACAAATAAAATATATGGCCTCAAAAACACAAAGGAGAATTGGAAATATTCTGCTCTGAGGCTTTTAAACTATAGGTGAAATGACATATTATTTGAAGGTAGATTGTAATAAAAGTACATATTGTAAAACCTTAAGAAATCATTAAAAAGTGAAACAGTGATAAGATTACCAATAATGGTTATAAAATTGAATTACAAGTAATAATGCAAGCATAACAAAAGAATCCAGAGTCAAGAAAAAGGGTAATTGGGAAAAAAAGAGCACATGAACAAAATAGTAAACAATACCCAATTATATCAAAATTAAATGTTAGTGGTCTAATACTTTAATTAAAAGACAGAGATTTTCATTTTAAATGAAAATCAAGACACAATTATATACCTTTTGTTTTGTTTTTAGTTGAGATAAAATTGACATAATATATTAATTTCAAGTACATAACAGTGATTTGACATTTATATACATTATAAAATGCTCACCATGGTAAGTGTGGTCACCATCTGTCATCACATAAAGGTAATACAATGTTATTGACTATATTCCCCATGCTGTACCTGTCATGCCTGTGACTTATCCATTTTACACCTGGAAGTCGGTACCTCCTCACCCTTTTCACCCAATTTGCCCATCCCACCATGCCCTCCCTTCTGGTAACCACCAGTTTGTTCTCTGTATTTATGAGTCTGTTTCTAGTTTTCTTGCTTGTTTGTTTGTATTATATGCTTTATATAACAGACTTATTGTAAATGTAAGGACAAAAATAGGCTATAAGTAAATGAATGAGAAATAGATAGCATGCAAACACTAATCAAAAGATAAAATGGTTATGTTAACATCAGTGGGGCTATATTAATATCAATGTACCTTTTAGAACAAGAATTCCGTTAATAAGGATGAAAACAGATTATAACCCAGGTTGGAATGGTCAATTCATTAAGATGATATAACAATGATAAATGTGTATGCATCTTATAAGAGAGCTTTGAAATACAAGAAGCAAACAGATTGAAGTGAAAAGAGAAATAGACAAATCCACAATTACAGTTGAAGGGTTTGATGCTCCTTTCTCAGTAATTGATGGAACGAGTAGAAAATCAGTGATGATACAAAGGACATGAACAATGTGATCAACCAACTTGATCTCAATGACATTTATAGAAAATGCCAACCAACAATATTGGAATGCATACATTTTTTTCAAACACCCTGGCCATATTCTGGGCTACAAAGCAGTGCTAAAAAATTTTAAAAGAGTAAAAATAAAAAATTGTATATTGGATCTAATTAATTAAAGTAATTAATTAAAACCTTTGATTCTTTTTCATTGTAATTAAGAAAGTAGTAACGGAAAGACATCTGGAAAAATCTCCAAATACCTGGACATTAAACAGAATGTTTATCAATAATCCATGGGACAAAAAAGAAATAAAAACATCTGAAAATTTGTGTAATGCAAATAAAACAGTGTTTAAATTGAAATTTATTGCATAAA